GGAAGTTATATTTGAGGATTAACTGTATCAGCTCAGTTACCCATGCCAACATAGCACAGAGATTGAAATTGTTAAATGAAATCCAGAGATAATTCAAAAACTCATTATTTGCTCAAGAATTTTTAATTTTTTGAGAAGTTAAAAGAAGTTAAATAAATTTTAACTTGAACTTGCAACCAACCTTTGTTAAATATCACTGCTAAACCAAGCTGAACAAACTAACCAACCAACCAATCAACCACCACCAACATAAAAACTTTCATGGCATCCAGAAGTATATCCCAACTCTTTTGCTTTCTACAAAGCTGGGACAGCTCTGACATCTGGGCTACCACAACTTGCTGGTCGATAGGTTCTTATAGGCCACAGACATAGGTTGCCCCATCACTGCAGACCATACAAGGAAGGACACGATTAGCCTGTGAGTAAGGAGAGATTCATCCTCACATCATATACTTATAAATCTGGCTTTAGGTATGGGTACGTGTACATAGACCATGTCAATATTGGCATGGTGAACCATGTATATATTAGAGATAGACATTAATACATGTATATCTGTATGGAGATGTTATATAAAATAGTGATTCAAACTAAGAGTACAATAATAGCTTTGGAGTACAATATACAGATATCTATCAAAATCACAAATGCATTATTTGTAGTCACATTTATAATGGCAAAACTGAAAAAAAAAGCCCAAATTTTCATTCTTACACACACATACACACACACACACACACACACACACACACACACCATTTAATCTTTTCTTCCTAGGTGCCAGGCACTGTGCCAAATGCTATTTACCTGTCCATTAATATATGTTTATATGTGTACACACCTGTGCACAGAGATACATATATAAAGATACATATATACCTTTAAATATCCTCTTTGGATGACTGCATTTTTCATTTTCATCTGGATGGACTTACATATGTAACATGTCAGAGCCTTCCCTGTACGCTGCTGGGAAGGAAAAGCCAGCCTCCTCTTTTCAGCATATTTACATGAATACGAGTAGGTGAAGTCCTTCAACAGCTTCCTTTGGCTGGGTGTCCTATGATACATTTGTGGCCTTCATCATAAGATTTCCTCTCTGGAAGTTTCCAGCGACCTAGTTTCTTAAGGGAGTCAACCTAGAACAGGTCTATATCCTAAGGTTTGTCAGGACCTCCCTGCGAAGTCCTGCCCCATTCTACAGCAGTATCAAAGACTATGACATTTTGGGTTTGTCAACATTTTTGAATGCTAGATTTACTAAACCCCAGATTAATGTAATAGGTTCACATTGACGTTGCTGCTCCCTTGGGTGCGCCAACAGATGGGTTAGGTGGGCTCTATGAAATTGCAAATGTTGTGTGTGTGTGTGTGTGTGTGTGTGAATAAGAATGAAAATTTGTTTGCATTTTAATATATTATAATTATTATACCATATTAATTATACTGTATATAAATTTTATATAATATATACAATTAACTGGATCCTGAAAGATAATTGTAATATCCCACAAAAACAACATTAGAAATCATTGGTTTAGGGGCACCTGAGTGGCTCAGTTGGTTAAGCGACGGACTTCAGCTTAGGTCATGATCTCATGGGTCATGAATTTGAGTCCCGTGTTGGGTTCTGTGCTGACAGCTCAGAGCCTGGAGCCTGTTTCAGATTCTGTGTCTCCCTCTCTCTCTGCTCTCCCCTGTTCACACTCTGTCTCTGTCTCTGTTTCTCTCTTAAAAATAAATAAACATTAACAAACTTTAGAAATCATTAGTTTAGAGATTTAAGTTTCCCAGTTTAGGATAAATTTAAACGGCATTCATAATTCACTTAAGTTTCTTTGTGTTAAGTATAATACCTGACTATGCTGAGGTTCTAAATGGATTTTAAAGAACTTACTTATATGGTTGGGCGGCTGGTGGTTCAGTCGGTTACGTATCTGACTTTGGCTCGGGTCATGATGTCATGAGTCGTGAGTTTGAGTCCCACATCAGGTGAGCACAAGCCCCGCTTTGGTTGAGCTTGAGCCCTGCTTCTGGTGAGCCCTGCTTTTCTCTCTCTCTCTGCTCCTCGTTCACTTGCACCCTCTCTCTCTCTCTCTCAAAAAAAAAAACCTTACTCATATGGTATCACAATTATTTAGGGTAATAAATGGTTTTTAACTAGTCTGAATTGGGTGTTTTGGTAAATAAAGCCTTTAAACTAACAGCGATATTCCATATTATGTACTATAGATCATCTGACGAGGAATTTCAGGAGATAGAAATCTTCACGTGACTCAAAGCTGAAAATGTTTACCAAGCATCCCACTGTGTGGGAGTGTATCATGTAATTCCATAAGGGCAATCAAAGAGGTCCTAACAACACTGCACGAGGGAGAAGGGCATGCTGGGTCTGAGCTGACTCAGTGAAGAGGGACAGGGAAAACCCCAGGTTTTAGGGCCCAGATGGTCTGGGCTTAAGCCCTAGTTTCCTCACTGTCCAGGGGCGTAACATTGGGCAAGATGCTTCTTCACCTGTCCAACGTGGAGTTTTCCTGTAAAACAGGGATGACAACAGTACCTCCTCCTTGGGGTTTGCTGCAGTGATTTGGTGATATCACCCGAGAGCCTAGTGCATGATAAATGGTAGCTATTATTATTATATTATGCTTCACGTGACACATGTTTATGCCCATTATAAAAAAAACCCAAAAGCTACTATGTAGCACCCCACGTTGGCAGACTTAGCAGCGGGCAGTGGGAACTTATTCTTTGTCGTGGATGTGTTTATGATGAATATAGATGAACGGAGGGCCAGATTTGTAGTGACTCATGAGTCTGTTTACTTCAGAAGTAAAAACACAGGTTTAACAGATTGAATGGCTTCAGGCAAAATGATGTAATTTCCTAGGGAAATCATTAAGAAAATTGAAATGAAAGTAAAAACTGTGTGCCCTCCACCCCCACCACGGGAGCCAGATATTCTCCAGTTTATCAAATGTAAGCACTTGATCACACAAAGAAAGTAAGATGGTGCTGGAAGAGCTGATTTCATCTCGCCTGGATGCAACCCATCTGATGGGAAATGTCCTCAGCCCTCCTTGCACACTGCACTGCGGCTGCTGGCTCACTTGGGGAGATACGTGATGGAGCTGGATGCGTGGGGTTTACTGAGATCTCCCCAAAGGGACCTTTCACACAATTCTAGCAAAACTAGATTGTAATCTTCCTTTTCAAAAGGCTCTTACTTCACTCATTTAAACATTTCTCAACACCCACTCCACAGTTTCTCCAGTTAGTTTGGATGAATTGAATTGAAATTCCTTTGTCCAACTGGAATGGTAAGACTTGGTCATTGGGACTCACTCCTTATGATGAAGAAGTAAGCCCATCACTTCTGGCTCTAACAGAAACACGACTGCATTTAAGGGACCCATTTCAGATTGTGCTCCTCACGGGAAACACCCAGACTTCCTAAGAACAAGTTGCCAGGCAGGATTTTGGGATTTCTTCTATTCACCACCCCCCCCATTTGTGGGAGTGTTTCTTTCTAGAGCCTGGATCTTAATCTGAATCCTATAACTAAACCTCAGAAATGCTAGAATTCCCTTAAAGTATGGTTATTTGGATTAGGATTAAAGGCATGCCTTATGGTGACTCCTGCCACAAAGATAAAAGCATCCTACACCACCCCTTTCCAGCCCTCCATGCCACGTTGTCCCCTTGTACTGAGCCCCGGATTAGCCTCAGGCCAATTCCCAAAGCCCATTCCCATTCCCTTACACTTTGGTTCTGTTCTTATGTGTGACTTTCTATTGCCGATCATGCTGGGTAAGCAGAGTTTTAGATACGTGAGTGGGCTCTTAACATTTTCTGGCTCTCTCACCCAGGCTCTTTTTCTTAACACCACAATACCCCAGCAGTTGGGCACTAATAGTCTCATTGTAGAGTTGAGGAAACTAAGGCCCAGAGATATCAGGATGTGTCTAGAGTTCCAAAGCAACGTGGAGTCAAATAGCGTGGGGGTTTATGTCCTGCCCTAACTCTCTGGCCCGGTTCCTCTGATGCCTGGGGTAATCACAATAATGTTAGCAACTGAAACCATTTAGAGACTTCACTCTAAGTGCTCTTTGATTTGTTCTCAAGGCAGTGGTGAGGGTACAGTTTGCATTTTGAACCTGACAGATTTGGGCTTGATTCCCACCCTCCATCTCTTACTAACTGTGAGACTTCGAACATCTTGTTGATCGTCTGTAAGATGGAGAAATGTCTACTTGTGGGTTGTCAAAAGTAGTAAAGGGAAGTAACCCATCCTTTCCAGTGCTTGGCCCCGCTGTAGATGTGTGCTAAAGAGCAGATGCAGTATAATCATTCACAGCAGGTGAACTGTGTTGGTGTACTCTCTAATCTGGGTTTCTTTCTTCTACCCCATTTGTTTCCTAAAAAACCCATTCCAGCCCCTCTACTTTTAGGGCCCCCCACAAAAGTGCTTCCCAAGGTTAGTGTGCATGTGAATCGCCTAGGTATCTTGAGATGTGGATTCTGCTTTTGTAAGTCTGGCCTGGACTTGCAGTTCTAACAGGCTTTTGGGTGATATCAATCCTGCCAATCTGTGGGGCACAGCTTTTTTGCAGAGACTGTGGGCGCACTAAGCTGGTTTAGGGACTAAACAGTTCAGGGCCAGTGGTTCTCAAAGTTTACAGTTCATCATCATCACATGGAGGGCTTGTTAAAATACAAAATACTGAGCTCCCTCCCAGAGTTTCCGAATCAGTACGTCTGAGGTGGGGTCATAAAATGTCATTTCTAACATGTTCCCAAGTGATGTTGATCCTGCTGGTCTGGGGATTAAACTTGCTCTTGGCTTAGCCTAAGGTTACTGAAGACCAGTAGGGAATCTGGTTCCAATGGTAACTGACTTTTAGGAGGCTATGAATCTTCTTGAGTAAGCATCTCCAAAGGCTCTTCCATCCCCCTCCCACTAGCGGGGCCCCGTCCCGTCAGTATCAGCCCTTTACCTTGTACACCGTGATGGGTATGTCAATGATGATGTGCAGCAGGTCTCCCAGAGCCAGGCTGGCTATCAAGATATTAGGGCCGTTTCGCATGCACTTGTTCTTGTAAATGATTCTCAGCAGTGTGGAATTCCCGATGATGCCCAGCACGAACACTAGACAGGACACCACCGTGTTGATATACTTGAAAGTCTCCTTGATCTCAATGGATTTCTCGCACGGAGGAGGGGAGCGTGGCCGGGCTCCAGCTGTTCTCCCTCCTTGAGGCATCTGCGGAGGTGCAGAAGTCAGCGGCACGCTGGCGTTGGCATCCCGCGGCCAGGAAACCTCAGTGGGGGGCGTCATGATCTCCCCGGGTCCCGGAAGTGGCAGAGTGGCCCCGGTGGGTGGGAATCCCCTCTCGTCTCCCTGGACCCCCGCCACGCCGCAGGCGATGATCAGCGCCAGCAGGGCGCGTCCGCTCAAGCTTGGCAGCACCCGCATGCTGCTGTCTGCTCCAGTGGGCGTCGGGTGGCCGCTCTGCTGCTTTGAGTCTGGAGAACAGCAAGGGAAGAAAGACAGGACGCTTGGGTCAGCTACCCCAGCCACGCCCCTGCAAACAGCTAGCGCAGAGCGCAGCCGCGCGGCTACCATCCGGCGCAAATGTAACTCAAGTTTGCGCGCTAGTGGTGAACTGGCGCGCGTGACACTCCTGAGTCGCTCGACTGTCCTTCCCGATCCAGCTTTCCCTGTGCTTTTTTCTCCCTTGCGTTCCCCCGGGGGATAAGTGACTCGCAGTGGGGCGGGGCATTCTGGAAGGGGTGTGCCAGAGAGAGAAGGATGGGTGTTAGCGTTTAGCTTTGAGTTCTTTGGTGTGTCCCAGGGAAGCACAGACGCTCTGGCTAAGGATGCGCGGGAACTGGGGAAATCAAGTCACCCAGAGGCCAAGGGCATATGCCAACCTCTGCATTTTGCTCCACAGGGAACCCGGATACCCGGTGTCTAAACCTCGTCGAGACTCCTCCGGGCGGGTGAAAGCCGCTACTCCCCAGCCGCCCGCGCTCGGATTGCCCGGGAGGCCGCCGCCGGAGTGCGCACGCTGACCCAGACGCTTCTCAGCTTGCCCGACTTGGGGGAGTGTCAGCATGAACTACGAAGCGTCTGTCCCCGCTAAGTGGCTTCAGACTTTTATTTGCTCTCCTTTACTCCAACCTCATTTTAATTCATTGTATCTGTATGTCTCTCTCTCTCTCTAAATTAGATTTAAAATGATATATCCCCAAACTACCAACCCAAGCCGAAGCCCCAGGAGAAGGTTCAATCGCTGATTTTAACTCAACACCAAGCCTCGCGAATGGAAAGCACCTGGAGCAAAGCGATGAGCAGGGGACCTCCTTCCCAGGACGCGGGGCTCGCAGGTCGGTTCCAGCCCGCTCCAGGGGGGCGAGCACGCCTCCCTTCCGGGCGGGCGGGTCTGGCCCCGACTAAACGCGCAGGGAATGCCAGACCAAGGAGCCTCCACAGCTTGCTTGAGGTCTTTGCCGTCCAGAGACAAGTACTTTTATTCATGCGTCCTTTCCCCATCAATCACCGCCAGACTCCTCCCGCGCCTTCCGACAGCTCTGCAACCTTTCCCTCGGGACGGTCCCTGGACAGCATCAGCGGGAGCTGCCCGCTGGCCAGGGCGGTCCGGTCCCGGCCAGAGACGCGTCTGAGAGCCTGCTGGTTGTCAGAGTCCTGGGTTCTCCAAACCACCGGCCTAAACCAAGGACAGGTTTCCACGCACCAGGCTAGAACAGGGTTCTGTATTTAACTAGTTACCCTGGACTTTCAATGCGGAAAGTGACTTCTCTTTCCGTTAAGTATCTACCCCGCGGTGCTGTTTAAGACCTGGTTGATTTGGGGGCTGTGCTCTTTGTCGGTTTTGGTTTGCCCTCAGATTTCAAGTCCACATCGCTCCCAACACACTGCCCTGAGAGAGGATTAAAATTCCTCCGTCACGTCTTCTTGCAGCGACGACTCTTTCTTCCAGCTATGCCCTGCAGTGTTGTTAGGCCACGACAGGGATTTTTATTCTGTCGAGGGATTTGATACCTATAAGGGACATATAAAGAACCAGAAACCTGCCATTCAAATTCATGGTGTCATTTCTTTATCAAAGCAGAGCAAAAAATACATTCCGCCTACCTGTTCTTGAACTCCATTTTTATGGGGGTAGAGAGATATAATGGTGGCCAGCAGTGTTAGCTGAAGATTGTATAAGACAGGTCAGATGCCAGTTGTGCAATGCACATCGGATATTCCTCTGCTTTACTCCACCCAACTAAGTCCCTGTTTCATCTGTAAACTTTTATGCCCAGGAGGACCCATTCCATGCTGAGATTCACTAGAGATTAGGCGGTTCATTCATGGCTTCACAGCTAATTGGGAGCCTAGCTGGGACAGGAATCATAGATTTTTGACCTCTATGCAGTGCTTCCTGGAAGTGGAAGTAGGATGTCAATATCTATTTAAAAGTGTGAATTTTGGGGGGGGGGGGGGGCACCTGGGTGGCTCAGTCAGTTAAGCGTCTGACTTCAGCTCAGGTCATGATCTTGGGTCTGTGAGTTCGAGCCCTGTGTCTGGCTCTGTGCTGACAGCTCAGAGCCTGGAGCCTTGCTTCTGATTCTGTGTCTCCCTCTCTGCCCTCCCCCCATAGATCTTTGTCTCTCTCGCTCTCAAAAATAAATAAACATTTAAAAAATCTTTAAAAAGCGTGAGTTTTAAGTGTGAAGTATAGTCTAAAGAACATAAGGAAAGTGAGAGTAAGGCTAAAGGAATGAGAAATACAGTCTAGGGTTGTGGGTGCTAATTTCAAAACTGGCTATTTTGGGTGTAGTACTTCTCCTCCCTGTCTGGGGGAAAAACAAGGTCAGGAATCAATTGCTTCATAGCTGAGATGAGTTAAAATAGAGTGTTACATGAATGAAGAATCATATGGATGCATTTGCTGCTTTGGATCTGCCCTTCTTACAGGAGATCCCTTGTACTGCCTCTTCCTTGTAGACAAAGCCCCTTCCTTCCATGATCACCATCACCTTCATTCACACTTGCTCCACCTGGTGCTGGATGCCTTGGCATACCTTAGAAATACTGCAGGTGCAGCTCCAGAACCCCGCCATAGAGTGAATACCCCCAATCAAGTGAGTCAAATGGATCTTTTAGCTTCCCGGTATATGAAAGTTATGTTTATACTATACCCTATTAAGCGTGCAATAGCACTCTATCTAGAAAAAAGTACATACTTGATTTAAAAATACTTTGTTGCTAAAAATGCGAGTTATCACTGGAGCTTTCAGTGAGTAGTAATCTTTTTGCTGGTGGCGATGTTGACGGCAGCTGACCAAGGTGGTGGTTGCTGAAGGCTCTGGTGGCTGGGGCAATTTTTCAAATAAGGCAGCACATAAGATTTGCCACATCAATGGACTCTTCTTTTCATGAATGATTTTCTCAGTAGCATGTGATGCTGTTTTTTAGCATTTTATCCACAGAACTTCTTTCAAAATTGGAGTCAGTCCTCTCACACCCTGTTATTGCTTTACTAACTAAGTTTATGGAGTATTCTAAACACCCTTGTGTCATTTCAACAATCTTCACAGCATCTTCACCAGGGAGGATTACATTTCAGGAAACTACTTATTTTGCTCGTCCATGAGAAGCAACTCTTCACCTGATAGAATTTTACCCCAAGAACGTAGCAATTCAAATGTAGTGATAATAAAAAGTTTAAATTGCTGAAATGTGATAAGGAGACAGGAAGGAGGTGAATGCCATTGGAAAAATGGTGCCAATAGATTTGCTTGATGCAGGGTTGCTACAAACCTTCAATTTGTAAAACATGTGGCATCTGCAAAGTGCAAGAAAGTGCACTGCAGTAAAACGAGCTTTTCTGGTAATCTAAGCCTCGTTGAGAGATCTATCTCTTCTCTTTTAAGACTGTTAAACAGGACTGAGCACTTGATTGCATTGAGGCTTCTATGGGTCACTACTGATTTCTTGTCAATCGATGTCCTTTTCAAGACAGGAGAGAATGACAGGTTCTTTCTGTACCATCACAGTACCTGCCACCATTGACCTCAAGAAATAATTTTATAGATCTGATAATTACATTTTGTTATTTAATTTAATTTTATTACTCTAATCATAGGCTTTAGGAAGAAAGCCAAATAATTTTAAGGCAAACATACAGATTCCACACTTGGAATTTAAAATGCAATATTGGCTACCTACCACCCGTGCTGGGCACCTCATTTCATAGGATCTCATTTATTTTCTCAGGAAAGTCTTTGAAATAAATATTGTTTTTCATGATATTATGGGAAGTGAAATAGTCTCAGAAATTCACTCAGTTCACATGGCTGGTTAGGGTTTGAACCTAGTTCCTGAGGAACTAGGATTTGAACAAGAAGATCTGGTTACAGAGACTGTGCTTTAGATTAATTTAATTGCATAGAATCTAAAGATTTTTTTTTTATTTTTTAAATGTTTATTTATTTATTTTGAGAGAGAGAGAGAGAGAGAGTAAACATGAGCAGGGAAGGGACAGAAAGAGAAAGAATCCCAAGCAGGCTTGGCGCTGCCAGCACATAGCCTGATAACGGGGTTTGAACTCATGAACAGTGAAATCATTAACAGAGCTGTTATTGAATTTGATGCTTGACCCACTGCGTCACCCAGCCTCCCCCTTTTTTTCTGATTTTGGGAAATCAGTGTTTTAGACCTCAGTAATATCCAGTTGAAGCTTAACCTGAAGTTGAGTGAAAATATCAAGGCAATCATGTAAAAGATTTATTATTTAACCCTCATGAAGGACCTTAATCAAGTCACAAGAAATTGAGTCTCAGTTTCCCCTTTTGTAACATGGGGGGAATGGATTGGATGATGTCTAAAGTTACTTCAAAGATGTCAGTCTGATGGACAAACTGACTTGGGAGGGTGGCCTGAAGAGCAGCAAGGTGAGATCTTGTGCTCGACGTTTTCCCCCCTTCTTCTTATGTTCTCTACTTGTGCCTTGGGCAGTACTACTACAGATACAAGGTTTTTTCACCTTATGACTTAAAATCCCTTATTGATAAACTTTATTTATAGCTTTACCAGTAAAGCACTGTGTAAATTTAATTTGTAAATATAAGCAAAAAAGTTTTATCAAATTTTAAGAATCCTTTCCGGGACATTTTTGAGCGTGAACTGATCTTGAATTTAGTATTTATAAGAGATTTCTTTGTTGTTGTGTTTACTTAGGAAATGTGGAAACTTTTACAAAGTTGCTTTTATGAAGACACTTTTTCAAGAGTCCTAAGAAGTATATCAAAATCCTAGATTGGCTAAGATTAGCCATCAAAGACAGAAAAAGGTGGCGAAGGACAATGTCCCACCATCCCTTTTAAATACTTTAACTAGAAGGTCATGAAGACATGGTTGAATGCACTTCAGAATTCATTCCTCAAAGAAGTTTGCCAGGGGGAGCTTGCCCAAAGCAAACCTTTTCACTTGGTAAGAGAACAAAGAAAAGCCCTTTTAGCCACAAAAAAAGTGAATACTTTCATGTAATCCCCTTGATATGAATGTACCCTTCGAAATCTACCTTGCATTCTTTAAATCATGAATGCTGAGGGACAAGGTGTGTGAAACACACAGAAAGAGTTGGTTCAGTTTCTTCTCCATGCATTCCCCTAGGAACAGATCCAATGATCAAATAGTGGTTGAAGTAAGGGAATAAAGATTAAAATGGCTGCACAAATCAATAGCAAACAGCCTGGGCCTTTCTATTTCTTGGATTTTTCTCTTATGATTACGTGACTATAGCTCTTTGGGCCTTAGGGGTAAGGATACTTTAAAAATTCTTTTTCTATTAAGGTATACTTTATATATAGTTAAATGGACAGGGCATAAGCACCCAGTCTGGAGAGTTTTGACAAGTACACAGCCCTGGGACCCATACTTCATGAACCATTTTGAAAATCCTTTTATTCTTCGAAAGCAGCGAAATTTGAATAGTTGGAACTTGGGCACTATTCTTATTAACATTTTTATTAAGACATTTTTCTGTTTAATCAATTTGTTTTATACAGATCATCCGCTGCTATAACAGAAACATAATTCATAAATTAGAGGTGAACTTATAAATGAAGGAATCTAAGATTTGAAACTTAATTGATGGTTACTCGATAGTGACCGGTTGTAGTCCAGGCTCCTACAGTCATGAAAATTTGATAGACTTATAGTAATTAGAAATAAGACACAATTAGTTCTTTTCTGCTTAAAAGAAATATGAGAAACAGGAAGGTCACGCTTCCTTTCTTCTGAGGAAAGCAGCATAGTTCGGCTACTTCACACACTGGCCTACTTTAATTAAAGATTCAATGAAGGAATTT